TTGATATATTTTTTTGTGTGATTTTCAATTTGATATTTTTTTTTTTTTTTGGTAACGACGGAACTCGTGTCAGCGGTCACTAGGTCGAGTTTGTCACTTATGGTTAGCTTAATGTAATGTACGCCTCTCGTATAATTTGTCAGTTATTATACGAGAGTGTAGGTTTATCGAGTGCATTTATATGGTTGGCTGCGAGATTCTTTTATTATAAAAAAAAATAGGATTTTAATTTGATTATCTTTATCAGTTTCATTGTCACTATCTGCTAACACTCATCAATTAGAATTTAATCAGTTAGTTTATAACAAAAGATTCTTATAAGCATTATTGAATTAGAAAAAAACGAAAGGATAAAATCGAACAGGTCAAAAGTAAGGTCCAATTCATTAAAGTCTTTAATTAATTGAGATGACCAATAAAGTGTAACATATTTTTATTTTTGACTTTTTATTTTCATTTTTTAAAGAAGGAAGCCTCGTCAACCACATATGTAGACGGGATAATAGTTTGCAAATCACACGAAAAAGATATATTAGACTAATTATGTGTAATAAGTTTGACCAAACGACTGTTGACAAGATGATTCGAGTCTTGGTCAACTAACTCATAATCACTTGTTTCAACCGTTAAATCATCGTTTACGGGCTATTTTGACTAATTTATCAATTAAGCAAAGTGGTTGGGCTATCAAATTTGAAGGCAAATTTTCATCTTTTTTGGGTCCATTTTTAGAGGACAAGCTAATTAATGATTGGGCTATCAACCAGCCCAAAATTGAATGGACTATTTTTCGTCCTTTATTATTTGACAAATAATCATATGAAATGCTATTTAGATCACAAAATTGCTATTTGTGGTTTATAATAAAACTCGCCAAAACTTTTAAAAGTATCAAAAACTCTCCCAAAACTGCAAATAACAAACAAAAAAAAAATCGAAAATTCGAAATCAAGCTTGAAGAAGGATTGAGCTTCGATTTTTTGATGTAATTTCGACTCTTTTAAGTGTAATATGCATTGGGTAGGTCGATTACGGAACCAATTTCATGTTAAAAAGCCCTACAAATCGATTTGTAGGGTTTTTTTTTTCGCAAAAAAATTTTCGAACGCCCAAGGCATGTACGAACGCCCGTTCTGGGCTTTCGTACACGCCTTGGGCGCCCATCTTGGGCGTTCAATTAAAAAAAAAAATTGCACTAGACGCCCAACTCGGGCGCCCAAATGCAGCTTGCACGCCCAACTTGGGCGTGCATTGTATGAATGGGCGCCCAAGTTGGGCTTTTACGCGTTTTGAGGAGTTTTTTGACTTTTTTGGAAAGTTTTAGGGTTTCTAGAGAAATAAAATGTTTTTCTGTGGGGTTTTGTTATAAACCGCAAATAGCAATTCCCATAATCATTCATTTATTTCCTAAAAAACAAATTTTTTTAATCGAATATTCCAACCAATTTATTTTGATTTTGTACTTTTCGATTTTGTACGTCGTACACTATATGTTCATTTTCACTATTTCGAAAACTTTTTTTATTATCAAATAATATTTACTTTCACGATGAATATCCCATGCATTACATGTAAATAAAAATAATTTATTGCCTTACTAAAATTTATTGTGCCAAATTTTCAAAAAAAAAATCACAACAAAATTCAGGTTAATAATCATTATCGTTTCCGGTCCATCCACGGAGGATTGATTTCTCCAATCCATTTTATTATTTTATTAATATATATATATATATATAGAGAGAGAGAGAGAGAGAGAGAGATTGAAAGAGAGAATTCAAATAAATAAATATTATTTTATTCACGCCTTTGATTCCGTTCTGTTTTTGTCAACTATGGAGAAGTAATCCACACACACAAGCACACCATCATACACACGCAGAAGAGCCACCTTCTTCATCAATCATCATCTCACATGGGTGTTGTAGAGAGAGATATAGACGATCTGCTGAAGAATCCGGCGAACTACACGGCGCTCACGCCGCTCGGTTTCCTGGAGCGGGCCGCGCTGATTCACCCGACCCGGAAATCCGTGGTCCATGGCTCCGTCGCTTACACGTGGCAGCAGACTTACCGCCGTTGCCGCCAGCTTGCTTCCGCTCTCACAAGGCGGGGCGTCACCTTTGGCAGCACCGTGAGTGGCGTTTTCAATATTTATTTATTTATTTCTCGAATTAATGCGGTGTTATTTTTGTTGCTTGTTTTTGGATTTAAAATTGTTGACCTTATTCATTTTACTTAGATTTTTTGTTTGTTTGCTTGTTTCCATTGAAATTGCTTGGTATATGCACTTTTGTGTATTGTGGATTTTGGTATCGAAACCGATTAGCTATTAATAATTTTGTTTTGGATGGAAATGGAGGTTAATAATCTAGAGAATCTGATGAAAGGGAAGATGATTGAGTGCTGTATATCGTAAGATTGAACTCGGAATCTTCGATGATTTTCGAATCAGCAGTATTTTTATCAATAAGGGGGAACATATTGTAATTAATATCAGCTCCTTTGAAGTAATTGTTCCATGGTTAATCGATTATTTTAGGAATGATTAAATCCTCGCTATGATATGGTATTCAATCAATCTCGATTATAATCTTTGGAATCGGTAATGAATTATGTAATAGATCGTTTCTCTGTCGGAAAAAAAAAAGGATAAAAAGGAAAACTCTTAGGACTTCAATCTGTACTATACTATCAAAACGATGCACCTTGTAGAAGTTGAATTCAACGAGTCAATACGTGTATATGTACAAAAATCGCTTTGAGACTTCGTTCTGTATCGAGTGTTTATTTTACAGTGCGAATGACAATTTTAAAAATGAAGAACTGAAATTATTACTTGGTTTCTTTCTCTACGAATTAACTGTTCAACTCGTGTATAGCTACAACTAATTCGGGTGCCACTATACTTGGTGTAGCAACTCACGGATATGAACTTACACTGAGTCTTTTACACATAATCCATTCTGCGCGTATGTAAGATGTATACACGAAGCTATAACACTTACCTCTGTAACAACAGGTGGCAGTCATTGCACCAAACATTCCAGCCATGTACGAAGCTCATTTCGGTGTTCCGATGTCGGGTGCTGTACTAAACGCCGTCAATGTTCGTCTGAACGCGCAGACAATTGCTTTTCTGTTAGGACACTCACAATCTGCAGTGATTATGGTTGACCAAGAGTTCTACACTTTGGCAGAGGAGTCTCTCAAAATTATGTCGGAAAACAGCAAAGAGAAATTCAACCCTCCGATTTTAATCGTGATTGCAGATGAAGTCTGTGATCCAAAATCACTTCAATACGCACTGCAAAGAGGGGCCGTTGAATATGACAAGTTTCTAGAAAGTGGTGACCCGGATTTCGAATGGAAGCCGCCGCAAGATGAGTGGCACAGCATTACTTTGGGTTATACTTCCGGTACGACAGCTAGCCCTAAGGGGGTGGTTTTGCACCATCGTGGGGCTTATTTAATGGCTCTGAGTAATGCTGTAGTATGGGGAATGAAAGAAGGAGCTGTTTATCTTTGGACTTTGCCTATGTTCCATTGTAATGGCTGGTGTTTCACTTGGACTCTTGCAGCACTTTGTGGTACCAGCATATGCCTTAGACAGGTCAGATTTCTATTTTCTTTTAAACGAAATTGGAATTTGCCTTTTACCCTGCATATTTTCTATTTTCGAACGAAATTCTGAATTCCACTGGTTCCGATCCGAATATATTTTCAATTTTGGAACAACATTTTTCATTCCGAATCCCGAAAGTTCCGATTTCCGATTTTTTTCGATCTCTTTGGAACAAAATTGGAATACATAATAGATTATGATTTTCGATCCATTTTAATTTCCGGAAATATTTTCAAAAAAATCAATTTATTTCTGGAAATTACACTTATAATATCAGTATAATTATGTATTTTATATTATAGGTTTGTAAAAATTGGAAAATCCGAAAATTTTCCGATTGCGAAACAAGTTTTTCACACCAATTTTAGAGAATTTCTGATTTTCTCGACTTTTTTTGGAAAGGATCTGGAATTAGTTTCTCACTCCCGAATAAAAAATTGATTTTTATTCGGAAACTCCTAATTCTGATCTCCAATCTGTCCGATTTCCAGGCACAGTTATCGCTGCTTTCTTAATGCATTATGTACTTAACTCATTCCATTTGTTCAGGTCACAGCTAAAGCCGTTTACTCAGCAATAGCTAATCAAGAAGTAACCCATTTCTGCGCAGCACCAATAGTCCTCAACACAATAGTAAACGCCCCCAAAAATGAGACCATTCTACCCCTCCCTCGCACAGTCCACGTAATGACAGCTGGCGCCGCTCCGCCCCCTTCAGTCCTCTCCGCCATGTCCAAGCAAGGCTTCCGAGTCACACACACCTACGGCCTCTCCGAAACTTTCGGGCCCTCAACTATTTGTGCATGGAAGCCCGAGTGGGACCGACTCCCGCCCGAAACCCAAGCCCGTTTAAATGCCCGACAAGGTGTCCGCTACACCGCCCTCGAGGGCTTGGAAGTTGTAAATCCCCAAAACATGACACCTGTCCCTTCCGACGGAAAAACGGTCGGAGAAATTGTGTTCAGAGGAAACGCCGTAATGAAGGGGTATTTAAAAAACCCTAAAGCGAACAAGGAAGCTTTTGCGAACGGGTGGTTTCATTCGGGTGATCTTGGTGTGAAGCATGAAGATGGCTATATCGAAATCAAGGATAGATCGAAGGATATTATTATATCGGGTGGTGAGAATATAAGTAGCGTTGAGGTGGAGAATATTCTCTACCAGCACCCTGCTATATTCGAAGTTTCGGTTGTGGCTAGGGCGGATGAGAAATGGGGTGAATCGCCTTGTGCATTTGTGACTTTGAAGCCGGGTATCGATGAGTCTAGTGGGTCCCGCGTGGCCGAAGATATAATGAGGTTTAGTCGGTCGAAAATGCCGGCATATTGGGTACCGAAATCGGTGGTTTTTGGTCCGTTGCCTAAAACTGCTACCGGAAAGATACAAAAGAATTTGTTGAGGGAGAAGGCGAAGGAATTGGGACCCGTTAAGATGAGTAGGCTATAAAAAACGCGCACGCATACATGTGGGTGTGTAGATGAACTTCATAGAGTGTAACATGTATTAATTTATATTGTACCATTGTAATATCTTGTGTTAAACCCTTTTGAAACACGTTGTTTTTCTTTATGTGTTTTTAACTTTCTTATTTTTCTAACTAAATTTTAGTTATGGAACAAGTAAGTGCTTAGTGGGTTAAGTATAGGGCTTAGTGGATTAAGTATATGGCTTAGTGGGCTAAGTAGTGCTTAAGTGGGTTTAATTGTGAATATTATTCTAACTCCTTAAACTAACCCACTAACCCACTAACCCATGTTCTTGAGTGCTCTTGTGGTTGGTTTTCTTGCAGATCATGGGCTGAGTAGTGGATGCTTGGAATGCCTATAAATACCGACTTCAATACTCAAGGAAGATAATCGATTCTATGAAATAAAAACCGAGGGCTGAAGAGAATACACGAGTGTTTTAGTTAGGTTTTAGAATCGGTTGTTTGTACTCTTCACGAGTACATTCTTTACGTACTCTTCGTGAGTACATTCTTTACGTACTCCTTATGAGTACATTCTTTACGTACTTCTCATAAGTACATTCTTTGTAGTCTAGATTGTTTAGTATATATGTTTCTAGACTTGGTTGTAAGAATGATCAAGAAAGTGATTCATTCATAAGTTCTTTACGTACTCCTCACGAGTACATCTTTGAAATCTAGAATTTTTAATATTTTTCTTTTAGTATCTAGATTTGATTGTAAGAATGATCTTGAAAAAGATTCATTCGTAAGGAAGAAGTTTTCGCACCTCTTCTGTTTGTATTCTTGGAATACTGATTTTAATATATATTTTTCTGTCCTGTAAAGGACAAGTTCACAAGTCTTTACTTGTGAACGTGTTTAATTCTGAGTATTGTTCTTTTGTCTTTATATTTCCGCTGCATGTTTGTTCAAGTGTCATAACACTTAAGACAACACCTCTGTATTAAACGAATTCGGGACCATAAATTATTTCAATTGGCATCAAGAGCCAACACTTGACGTATACTAAGTGTTTGTTCCTATTTTTCTTTTTCAGAAACGAATTCGTGATGGATACTCAGATGACTGCTTCTATGCGACCTCCTGTACTCGACGGCACAAACTACACCTACTGGAAAGTCAAGATGAGGGCGTACATCAAAGCCACTGATGAGAAAGCCTGGAGATCAATTCTTACTGGATGGAAGTCACCAACTATCACAGATGCGGATGTGGATGTATTTCCAACACCAGAATTACGGTGGACAGCAGACGATCTATCAAATGCACTCCATGCAGAACTAGAAAAGGAAGAAGTTGCTACAGAATATGATGATGATGTAGATGAATGTCTCAACAATGTGGCATTTCAGATTCAAAAATTCAATAGGGCATACAGACGAAGTGGAATCAAGCCTCGACAGTTATTTTCAGATGGCTCTCCACAAAATCGTCAAACTCAACCTCGGAACATATCTATTCCACAGAGAACATTTCCTCAAACATCTTCTCAAAACACTTCAAAAAACTCTTCATTTATTCGTTCAAATTCTGAACCACCTAACTTGGATCATATTAAATGCAGGGCATGTTCAGGATTTGGACATTATGCTAATGAATGTGCAAATACCTTGAGAAGAAGAGGAATGAGTCTGATTTGTGCAGTCAGTGATGAAGAGGAAGAGCAACCTGAACAAACAGAGGAAGAGCAATCCACCAATCAAGCTCTTTCAGTCAGATACATCACTGAAAATTGTTCTGAAACAGAATCACAAGGAGTTTCTCTAGATGCTGCAACACTTTCTGAAACACTTTCAGTAACTGAAATTTCTGAGTTAGATAATAGTCATTATACATGTTTGAACTCTATTTCTTTGAATGCTGCAGAATACAGTAAAGAAGCAGTAGGAGATGAGGAAGAAATGTACAAGAAATTGTTCAGTGACTTGGAGAAGAAGACTCATGCTCTAGATGCAGCCAACAAGGAAAATCCTTCTCTCAAAGAAACAATAACTCATTTGGAGGTTGGTATCATCAAGAAGGATCTTGAACTGGCAAAGGTGAAAAATGAACTCAAAGAAGCGACTCTAGCAATCAAGAGGATGAATACCGACACAACTAAACTCAAAGAGATTGTGTCACTGGAGAAGTACAACAAAAATGAAGGTCTAGGGTTCAAAAACCAAGTGAAGAAACACAAGCCAGTAAAGAAGAAGGAGATTGTCTTTGTAAAAGAGAAGGGTTCACATAGAAAGAATGCAGAAATTCCACAGTCACCACTTCAGAGTCCAGAATAAGGGGATACATTTGTCATGACTGTTTCTCACCAGGACATACCCGTCCATTATGTGAGAAACTAAGTAGTGACAAAATGTTGTACAGGATGAGTCACAACACTCCAGGGAACACCTCCAAGAAAAAGGTAGAATTTACCAAAAAAGAGTGTAGAATATGGACTCCCAAAGGTAAACTTATGTGCAAAGCAGTATACACTTCTTTAAATGCTAACATTTCAGGTTCATGGTACTTTGATAGTGGATGCTCTAGGCACATGACTGGAACTAAAGAATTTCTATCAAACTACTATACACTCAATGGAGGACGTGTAACCTATGGAGGAGGAGCTAAAGGCAAAGTGGTTGGACGTGGAACACTCAGTATTGAGGGACTTCCAAAACTTTCAAATGTCTTACATGTTGAAGGATTGGGGTCAAATCTCATCAGTATTTGTCAATTGTGTGATGATGATCTACGTGTTCAATTTGATAAATACTGTTGTTCTGTGTTTGATAATCAAAATCATTGTGTACTGACAGGTTCCCGGTCAATGGATAATTGTTATCAAACAGGTGATATCATCTCATGCAAGAGCTCAAGAGTAAGTGAAGTAGAGCTGTGGCACCAGAATCTAGGGCACACAAACTTCAAAAATCTGAAGCTGCTCAACAAGTACAATGCCATAAGAGGAATTCCAGATCTCAAGATCAAGGACATTCCTATATGCGGAATGTGCCAGAAGGGAAAGCAAACTAGAGTACCACACAAAGTGTTACAACCCGTTGGTACCACCATTTGTTTTGAACTTGTACATATGGATCTTATGGGTCCTATAGAGGTAGAAAGCCTAGGTGGTAAAAAATATGTATTTATGTGTGTTGATGATTTTTCGAGATGTACTTTGGTGTATTTTTTAAGAGAAAAATCTGATCTAGAATACATGCATGTATTTGGATGTGTTTGCTTTGTCCTAAATGACAGAGATCATCTAGCTAAATTTGATTCAAAAAGTGATTTGAGTTTATCTATGGGATACTCTAATAACAGTCATGCTTATAGAGTATATAACTTAAGAACTCGAACCATTATTGAATCTGTAAATGTGGTATTTGATGATTTTGCTGATCTCCGCAGTAAAACAGCTGAAGATGAAGTTGATGACCTGATTGCTGAAGGTGAAACAACCAGAGGAGACACTACTGCCACAGATGCTCCATATATAAACAGTCCAGTCTCAAGAGAAGAGGGTGTTGAACCAAGTGTTACCACACCTGACTCAATACAGCCTACAGAGAGTACAGAAGCTGAATTGCAGCCAACTCATGATGTCTGCAGAAAGGAACCATCAAGTAGAATCCAGAAAAATCACCCATCTACTCAAGTTGTGGGAGATATCTTTGATGGAATAAGGACCAGAAGAAAAGAGAGAGTGAATTACAGAGATATGGTAAGATTTGCAAATTTATCTTCTGAATGTACACTAACTGGAACTACTTGCTTTGTATCTTCAGTCGAACCAAGGAATATTGCAGAAGCACTGAAGGATGAGTTTTGGATTAATGCAATGCATGAAGAGCTGAATCAGTTCATCAGGAATGATGTTTGGTACTTAGTTCCCAGACCAAGTCACGTAAATGTGATAGGAACTAAGTGGATTTTCAAAAACAAAACTGATGAAAAAGGTACAGTGGTTAGAAATAAGGCTAGGTTAGTAGCACAAGGTTATACTCAGATTGAAGGTATAGATTTTGATGAAACCTTTGCTCCAGTAGCTAGAATTGAATCTATTAGGTTAGTTCTTGCTATAGCCTGTTTTCTTAAAATCAAACTGTATCAGATGGACATCAAAAGTGCATTTCTAAATGGTGTTTTAAATGAAGAAGCATATGTAGAGCAACCCAAGGGTTTTGAAGATTCTGCCAAACCTGATCATGTGTTCAAGCTTAAGAAGGCTCTGTATGGTCTTAAACAAGCTCCTAGAGCTTGGTATCAAAGACTCACTGACTTCTTACTTGAAATACAATTCACTAGAGGAGAAGCAGACAGAACTCTATTTGTTAGAAGAACAAATAACCATATCATTATTGTACAGACATATGTTGATGATATTGTTTTTGGTTCTACTTGTGCTAACCTTTTTCAGTCTTTTGTAGATTCTATGTCTCACACTTTTGAAATGAGCATGGTAGGGGAGTTGAATTACTTCTTAGGACTCCAAATCAAACAAACAGGTGAAGGAATGTTTGTAAATCAAAAGAAGTATGCTCTCAATCTGGTCAAAAGATTTGAGTTGGAGTCAGCCAAGGACATGAAAACTCCAATGGGTTCCAGTCAAAAGCTGTCCAAGGATGATGTTGCAGAAGATGTTGACAGCACTCTATACAGAAGCATGATTGGAAGCCTTCTGTATCTAACAGCAAGCATGCCTGACATTATGTTTAGTGTTTGTGTGTGTGCCAGGTATCAAGCTAATCCCAAAGTCACTCATCTTAAAGCTGTGAAGCGGATTATTAGGTATGTTGCAGGTACAGTAGATTTAGGGATTCAGTTTTTCAAAGACACAAACACAAACTTGATAGGTTTTAGTGATTCTGATTGGGCTGGGGATATTAGTGACAGAAAAAGCACTTCAGGTGCATGTTTCTTTTTGGGGAATAATCTGGTTTCTTGGTTTAGTAGAAAGCAAAATTGTGTATCTCTATCAACAGCTGAATCAGAATATGTAGCTGCTGGAGGGTGTTGTGGTCAACTAATTTGGATGAAACAAATGTTGGGAGATTACGGGTTGACCAGTGATACCCTGACCATATATTGTGATAATTCAAGTGCTATTGACATTTCAAAAAATCCTGTTCAACACTCACGAACTAAACACATAGATATTAAACATCATTTTATTCGTGATATAGTTGAGAAAAATATAGTGTGCTTAAAGTACATTCCTACAGAAGATCAGCTGGCTGACATCTTTACAAAGGCATTAGATTATGAGAGGTTTTCTAAACTCAGAAAATCTCTCGGGATGTGTACTCAATAAACATGTCCTGAAATATGTTGCAGCATCTTATCAAACATCTTAAGCTGCAACATAATTTATTGAAGCTTAGCTTCTTTAAATAAGACTTCACTGTGATGGATTATTTTCTAAATAAGTAACTGGAAGTCTTTCACCTTGAAACGTGATCATGCTTCATGTAAACATTTAGGGAATAATTACACTCATATAAGTCAAACTCCTCTATTTTGATAGTCATATCTTAGTAACTGAGGAACCTTCAAACTGAACACTTGATCATGTTCCATGTGAATTGTTTGACTTGAAAATAAGAGTTTAAAAAAAAAAAAAAAAAAAAAAAAAAAAAAAAAAAAAAAAAAAAATTATTAATGATATATAGATATATATTTATATAATAAAATCTATGCCTGTCAGCCAATTTATTTTTTTTCTCACACTATTAATCATTAATAAATGTGTTTCTTATTTTTGTGAAAATTTCGTGAGTGCTACTATTTTTATTTTATTTATTTTTGAATTATCACTATTTATATGGGTCATGGGGTAAATGGGTTAGTCTTTTATCTTCCACTAAGTCCACTCCTTATTATGCCATGTGTCACGTTTTGTTTTAAACTGCCACATAGACCTTTATTCTCCTTAATCACACTCTCTCCAAGAAAAACGCACACCGCTTCTTCACTTTCTCCACTTCGATTTTTTTTTCTCTGCAAAAATTAGGGCTTATAAATTTCGTGCTTCTTTTTCGAAAATTCACACTCAAAAATCAAAAGCACAAGAAGCAATTTTTTTTTATCTACTGTATCATGGCATCTCCTCCTAGAAATCCTCTTCCAGCCGTTGATGATGTGAACAAGGATGCTGCAGCACCTGAACCAGCAGACCCTAATCTAGCCATCATCGTTCATCCTGTCAACCTTGAAGCCATGCCGACCAGCTTCATTGGGCCTGGCGACGAGCTGAATCCGATTGACCGAGACATTTTTTCAGAACCTGGGTCCCTCTTCCACTCTAGGAAGACTTCCTACTTGCCAGTCTAAGTGCATGAATCCCTTCCCAGATCTGAATGCTACTGGATCACAACGCTGGAGGGGATAGGAAGACATTCTCCCAGCAGAGTCGGCAGAGGTGGAAGAAGAAGCGGCAGAGTCGGTCGCACTCCAGTCCAGTCAAACCCACGAAGAGGTCTTCATCTGGTAGATGAAGAAACTGATGATGAAGCAGGGGGAGACGTCACAGCCCAGCATGGCAACAGCAGCCTCTCAACATTTTGTTCCTGAAGGTGTTGCTGCACCTGTTTCTGAAGGTGTTGCTGCACATGCTCCAGAAGATGCTGCTGGACCTACTGTTTCAGCAAATGTTCCTCAGAATACTGCTGAGGATGCTGCCCCTTATCAGGATGAAGAAATGCCTGATTTTTCTGGAATGTCATCAGCAGAGCATGTAGACATTCCATCTGTGGATGCTCAAGATTTCACCACCACAGAAGAACCTCCACCAGCATCAACTCAGGGGGAGACATTTCAGTCCAACATGGCAGCAACTCTCTCTCAACATCCTGTTTCCGAAGATGTTGTTGCACATGTTCCTGAAGATGCTGCTGCACCCACTGACTCAGCCAATGTTTCACAGAGTGCTGCTGAGGATGCTGCTCCCTACCAGGAAGAAGAAATGCCTGATTTTTCAGGGATGTCATCTGCCGAGCATGTTGACATTCCCTCTGTTGATGCTCAGGATCTCACTACCACTGAAGAAACACTCTCAGCACCACATGCAGACCCTCTGGAAACTCTTGCAGAAGCAGCTGTTCAAGTCGATACATCATTCTCTCAGATGCAGGAAGATGTTGCCCCACGTGTTGCATCACCTGAGCCAGCATGCATCCCAGATGTACTTGAAGACTCAGAAGAAGAGGAATCTTCTGAGGAAGAAGAGCTGAACTTGGATGGGAAGGATCTGTCAACTCTTTTGAGGTAAACAATGCTTTCAGTACAACCTTTTATTTTGAATCTGATTCAATTTTGAGTCCTCAAATCATGAATTGCCAATTCATTGAGGAGAAGAAAATTTCCAAGGATGAGTTTGATAGACATAGGATTACTGATTTTCTTGATCAAAGAAAAATCCTTAGTCTAGTTGAGATTTCATGTCCTTATGATCCCTCTGTTGTGGTATGCCAGTTTACAAACCTCCTTTTAAAAAAAAAAAAAAAAAAAAAAAAAAAAATTCTCCAAACTTTGGCAAAGTTTTTGTGCGAAATTCTATTTTCTCCATTTTCTCCCAAAAAAATTATCAACTCTCATTTACAAACTCCTACTGTGATTGATGAGGATAATTATGGTGATTTTACTGAGGTTTGTAAGACTCTTTCTGGAAATCGTTTAAAATGTTGGCCTGCTCACCCCAGAAAATTCAAAGTTTCTCAACTCACTGCATTTTATTTTGTCTTGTTCAGACTCACAGTGATGAATTGGATTCCATCCAAAAATGTCTCTGTGGTTACTAAACTTCATGCAATACTCGTGTACAAATTGGGGATGGGATTACAAGTTGATGTTGGCAAACTTTTCTTTAAATAATTTAGGTCATCTTGCCCAGAAAATTTCATCCTCCACTCATCTTTCGTATCCTTTTCTCATCTACTCCATTCTGTTTTCTCAAAATTTGGGCCAAGATGAATCATAATATCTTCACACTCCACTTGGCATGAAAACTGTTTCTCAAAATTTTCTCAAAACTCCTCATGTCCAAGATCTTCCCTGGAATGGAGATATTTTTTTCTCTCAACTGAATCAGGTCAAAATAATCTTGGTACTGAAGGTGTTGCTCCTCATGTTGACAACATCCCTGACATTCTTGTTTCTGTTCCTCGAGATCTTGTGTTACAACAGCTTACTCACTCTCTAGCTCAGATTACCAGTCCATGGTGGAAATGATCCAAAAAGCTCTTTCTGATCAAAAAGGGGGAGAAAAAGGTAGTCATGAAGTTGAAGCAACCAGAGGCAGAGAGCAAGGAGTTAATGAAGCTGAAGGAGCAGAGGAAAGTAGTGGATCCAGTACTAGTGATGGAGGAACAACAGCTGATACTGAGGAGACTTTGGATTGCGCTATTTTTGTTATTTGCTATATTGGTTGTCATATTCAGGGGGAGTTCAAGCAATGACTCAGGGGGAGTTAAGCGAAAATTTAGTTTTGATCAGAAAGTTAAAAAGGGGGAGTTTGAAACACGTTGTTTTTCTTTATGTGTTTTTAACTTTCTTATTTTTCTAACTAAATTTTAGTTATGGAACAAGTAAGTGCTTAGTGGGTTAAGTATAGGGCTTAGTGGATTAAGTATATGGCTTAGTGGGCTAAGTAGTGCTTAAGTGGGTTTAATTGTGAATATTATTCTAACTCCTTAAACTAACCCACTAACCCACTAACCCATGTTCTTGAGTGCTCTTGTGGTTGGTTTTCTTGCAGATCATGGGCTGAGTAGTGGATGCTTGGAATGCCTATAAATACCGACTTCAATACTCAAGGAAGATAATCGATTCTATGAAATAAAAACCGAGGGCTGAAGAGAATACACGAGTGTTTTAGTTAGGTTTTAGAATCGGTTGTTTGTACTCTTCACGAGTACATTCTTTACGTACTCTTCGTGAGTACATTCTTTACGTACTCCTTATGAGTACATTCTTTACGTACTTCTCATAAGTACATTCTTTGTAGTCTAGATTGTTTAGTATATATGTTTCTAGACTTGGTTGTAAGAATGATCAAGAAAGTGATTCATTCATAAGTTCTTTACGTACTCCTCACGAGTACATCTTTGAAATCTAGAATTTTTAATATTTTTCTTTTAGTATCTAGATTTGATTGTAAGAATGATCTTGAAAAAGATTCATTCGTAAGGAAGAAGTTTTCGCACCTCTTCTGTTTGTATTCTTGGAATACTGATTTTAATATATATTTTTCTGTCCTGTAAAGGACAAGTTCACAAGTCTTTACTTGTGAACGTGTTTAATTCTGAGTATTGTTCTTTTGTCTTTATATTTCCGCTGCATGTTTGTTCAAGTGTCATAACACTTAAGACAACACCTCTGTATTAAACGAATTCGGGACCATAAATTATTTCACCTTTAATTAGTGTTCATGGGACCGTGTTCGTGTTAAGTTTTATTGAATCCATCTTTGCAAGTTGAGGATGTGATAATGTTTTATTTTCAGGGATTTGATAAATGTCGTTTGAGTTTTAATATTATCGTTTCAACTTTAAAAGTGATTTTTACCATTTTTTAGTTTGAATTTTAGAAAACTCAAAATACGGAATTTGTAGTTCTTTGAGTTAGCTTTCTAATCCAATTTGAATCAACGAGATTGGAAGTCACGTGAGAAAGATATGCATGTATCATTGAATATTGCCCGCAACTCTAATATTTTCAGTTAAATTCAAAATGTAACTAATCGATGCATAATTTTGCCACCCGATATTCAGTCCCACTGATTCAAGTTGGATTAGAAAGCTAACTCAAAGAGCTACACATTCGCATTTTGAATTTTCCCAAAATCAAAATAAAAGAGGATCAAAATCACGTTTGAAGTTATAACAGTATCAGTAAAAATGAAACGAAGTTTATCGCAGGTTATTGCAAAACACATTTTGATCAAAGATGTAAAGTGGATTGCCCAACAGAATGAACAACTGCCAATAGCCCCATACCATTCATTCATTCATGTATACAAATTTATGAGTGGAGAATCTAAACAAGAAAATATTATGTCCCATGAAATAGTGAATGCAAAGGGATAACATTTGTTGGCAATACTATCCACCTCGACATAAAGATAATATTTTCTTGAAAAAGGGATAAGAATATTTAATTTATATCCAATCAATAAACCCACAAAGAAAATTATGAATTTATATATCTAATTCAACAAATCCTAAAGAAGTTCTCATTTTCATCTTGATCACCTTCACATTAAAGAGTAGGGCCTTTCTATCATCAATTATCCAGTTTAGGACAGTTTGGATATACAATTGCTCATTTGCCACGTCACCAAATTAAAATATTATTTTTTTTATAATTTATTTAATAGATATAAAAATCATATTCGGGCTGAACTTATTTTGTGATTGGTCATTTTTGTTAGAATTAAAGAAAAAATAGTTGGAGAAAATTTGACACTCAAAGAGAGTTGGATGATCCAATAAGATCAGTTGAAACAGAATACACTCAAGACAAACTCTTCCGTTAAATCTGTTTCATGAATGTTTCGTGCAAGATCATCAACAACTCATGATTTTTTTTTATTAATTAATTAATTTATTTATTTATGAAGAAGTAATCTTCAATAAAAAAAATATATAAAGGTGCACTAGATTTAAAAAAAAAAAAACAAAAAAAAAAGGAATTTTATGTTTTTTAGGGCTTGGAATATTGTACCTTGTAATAAGACAACAATATTCACGTTTTTACTAGTTCACGTGAGATTTATCAAGAGCTCTTGATACATCACCTTTTTTTTTTGTATAAAATTTATTACTACATCGGATTTTGTGTTGTTTTGTGATTTATATATTCGTTTCTTTTGTGAATTGAGTAAATCTACGCTTCTGTACGTACAGTAGCTTTCAAATCATAATAGAGACGTAAACTATACTAGACTAATTAATCGTATCAATGAGATTAAAACTTTGATCAATTAACACAACTCATTTTAGTAGAATTTATTTTCAGGATAAGGTGTTCAAGGGTAAAGTATAATTTGAGACAATTAATTATATATTTGATCATGTAGTCAAAACAATTAGTTTCACTAATTAATGTTATAGGAAGCTAAAAGATTGTAACAATTATTTGTGTAATAATCCACATATTATTGATATTGCTTTGTTGAACCTTCAAAAGCTAGCTATTCCATACTACTCCTTGTTAGGTTATTGACCAAACATATAGGAAGACCCTACATCCTAAATTAAAAATAATTCAACTAACTTTTGCAAATTAAAAAACATTATGAACATGATACATTTACCATGAATTATTATTCATATTCAACCTATACTTACAAAATAATCTCTCTCTCTCTCTCTCTCTCTCTCTCTCTCTCTCTCTCTCTCTCTCTCTCTCTCTCTCTCTCTCTCTCTCTCTCTCTCTCTCACACACACACACACACACACACTACATGAAGGACGTGGAAATTCAATCATGAACAATATAGATACCCACCATTTGAAGTTACTTGAACACACAATCTCCCTCTATATATATCTACACTTAACCCCTCATTCCCCCAAAACACACACACACACACACACACACACACACACACACACACACACACACACACACCAAAACAAAAAAAACACTAAAAACACACACTAGTGTGTGTAACCCACATTAACTAACATGGATCACAATCCACTCAAAAAAAACTCATCATACATCCACATCCCACTCCTTCTCCTCCTCCTCCTCGCATTCACCTGCGAATCGCGGGCCCCATTCGCATGCGACCCGAGCAACAGCGTCTCGAAAAACATGCCGTTCTGCAGAGTGTCACTGCACATAAGAGACCGGGTCGGTGACCTGATCGGCCGGTTAACTCTGCAAGAGAAAATCCGGTCACTTGTCAACAATGCTGCTCCGGTTGACAGGCTCGGCATCAAGGGTTACGAGTGGTGGTCGGAGGCACTTCACGGCGTTTCCAACACCGGCCCCGGAGTTAAATTCGGCGGCGAGTTCCCCGGCGCCACCAGCTTCCCCCAAGTTATCACCACCGCCGCCTCCTTTAACTCCTCCTTGTGGGAAGCAATTGGCCAGGTCAGATTATATAGCACAATATATAAAGTATTTAATTTCTTTTTTAAAATATTAAATCAATTCTTTTTTGTTGTAATTTTTGTTTGTGACGGTGTAGACAAAATAAAATTAATTAGGAGCAAAAACTTTACAAATTCTGAAATTCACGTGTTTGATATAAGATTTTGGCTCTGATTAATTACTACTGGTCAGCTAGTAGTCAGAACTTAATTTAATAATAATAATAAATAAAAATAAGGTTGGTAAGTCTTATGAAAAATAAATAATTATTTTCTTACGTAATAAAGAACATGATTTTTTATTTTATAATAAGATGCTTGTGCAAGAATGCGACAAAGGGTGCACTATATTTCTTTCTTGTAATGAAGACAGACATCTTTTGGCCAGATTGAAGTTGCATGTGACTAATGCTATAATAATATAGAAAGTGAAATCGAAGCGATTTTTTTTTTCTTTTTCGAGTGAGATTTACACGTTTCGTGTGTTATTCGACGAGAGCGATTTTTATCCAGTGCACATATACATACATATATAGTGACATATTATCTTGTAAAAAAAGAAAGCGTGCAAAAGAAAAGCAACATAATATAAGAGGAAATTAATCCATATTGGGATGCATATATATACATATATACATACATATATACACATATATAGATAGATAGATACAATTATTTGCAACTTGCGCATAAGCCTATCTTTTTTGCCCATACCTAAAGAACACTTCTGCATACTCAAATATATATATATATATATATATATATATATATATATATATATATATATATATATAGCATTGGGTGGGGTGGGTGAATGATGGTCCTTTTTTGGAGGTGACAATGCTTTTTAATTAATTATTAAGATTAAATAACTATATATTAGATTATTTAAAATGTTAGTTTTAGTTCAAATATTCGAGTTTCGTCCGACTAATCAGAGTGGACGATATTTCTCTTGGCTCGACTAATCGCCCTATGTGATTTTGAATTGGCGAAAAGATCCTCATTTTTTGATTTCTAATTACTATAAATCCCTATATATTTTGAATTGATGGGACTTTAGGGGTTGATTTGCCTTTGATTTTCCAATTGCGAGGATTTTTTTGCTAATAAAAATAATAAGGTGGGCTTTTTTGCAATTATGGTAAATATAGGGGTGACCAATGTAATAATTAACTCTATTTTAATATAGACATAGGGAACAAGAGCATTTCCTCTAATTCGGTCTTCTTGTAGCATATTAATTAAATTCAACTACATATTTAGGACCACTTCTATATAAAATCATGGCGTGAAGATAATGAAATTAAAAAATAAAAATAAAATTATATTTATATACTAATTAAGATGCATGTTTAATTTGGTGAATGAATTTAATTAGGTGGTATCAGATGAAGCAAGAGCAATGTACAATGGAGGGGTAGCAGGGCTGACATATTGGAGCCCAAATGTGAACATTTTCCGGGACCCACGGTGGGGCCGGGGCCAAGAGACTCCCGGCGAGGACCCCACTTTGGCCGCCAGTTACGCCGCCAGCTACGTGGCGGGGCTGCAGGGCAATGCTGCCGCCGGAAACAGGTTGAAAGTTGCTGCCTGCTGCAAACACTACACTGCCTATGATCTTGATTTTTGGAATGGCATGGACCGC